TTACCGCGATTTGAACAACTGAGATAAATAAATACTGTCCAGCACAGGGCTCCAGAGTGCGACCAAATGGACGCATTTTGCCATCATTTTTTCGGCCAGTGCGACTACATTTTGTTTGCAGTCGCACTGGCGCGACCACCGCATTGTTTAACTCATAAGCGCTGCCATATCTGTTGCATATGAGAAACATCAAATGGCAAACGAAACTGAAAGCGTAACGAAACCGCACTACTCGTTTGAACTGCGCAGCGCTTATAGAGTGTAGAGCCTGGTTTATACTCGCCGCATCAGCACGAGCGCGAAGGTGCGTGCAGCAAAAATGATGCTAAACGTTCTGTAATTTATTAGTCGGTATATATTACAGCATGTGGTGTATGCCATGCCTCGTCTTGTTAGCTAGTTTGTCATTGTATCTTACTGTTTTATTGTTGTTATGCTTTTTAATTAAGAATAACAACGAATCCATCTTTTGTTTTGGACTTAAAAAGTGAAATATGTATAGATGTATGTAAGCAAATCAGACAAATATCTTTTCTTGTAAAACGTGACACCAAGATCGCGAATTCGAAAGTGAAAGCATCCGAAGCCCGGCTTATAACATAGCCTAGCAAAAGAGAAACTACCGTTCACAAAATTTAAATCACAAATAATACTGATGAAAAAGAAGGGGTTGAATGTTAACCACTTTCGTTTTCATACAACTATAAACTATGATAAAAGTTCATCAGCATGCATTGATTGATCCCTAAAAATAAAAATATTGCGTAAACAACAAGCCAAAACAAATTAATTAATAATCTTGTCGGTTAACGGTTAATAATCGGTTAATGAGCATCGGTTGTCGGTTAGGAAAAATAACCGAAATGAACATCCCTACTCCCGAGACTGCACTCTACTCCCCCCCTCCCTGGGGGGAGCCGATCACGGCGGCCGCGGCGTACCCTGGGGTAAGGACAGACGAGGTGAGAGAAAAGGAGATGGAAGGATGAGGAGAGACAGAGACGAGAGAGGGGAGAGAGGAAAAGAAAAAAAATTCTCAGACACACTGCCGTTGGTCTTCAACCAGCTGAGACGCTCTTACTCGCGGTGCCATGCGATGGTACTGGACATCTTTGGTGAACGGCCCGACACTCCTCCACCTCCTGGTGGATGGCGATGGCTCCTCCGGTCGAGTGCAGCCGGCAGCAAGTCCCCCGTTCCCTGCTCCTCCCCAAACATGGCGAACGGCGCTGACTCCTCCGCTCCCTCTCTGACAGCAGCCACCTCCTCAACCCAGGAGCACGGCAGCGAGCCCTCCGTCCCACCTCGTCTTCCATCGTTCCAGCACCACCACCTTGGGCAGCCACCGGTGGTCTCCGCTTCTTCCTGCTGCCCGATCTCCTCAGCACCGCAATCCCCCTCAGCAGTGAGGGCTCTCTGACAGCGTGTCCCTCCTTCCTTCCGGGTTTCGGCACCAATGTAACAAAGTTCGTAGTCACGGGAAGGAGGAGGCGGGAACCGGTGAACATTTAAACATAATTTAATAACAAAATAAACACAAAACTGAAAATAGCGCGACAGCCCCTCACGGACGACTGCCGCGCACAAACAGAACCAAAACAACAAATAGTCCAGGCCTGGTCCTCTCGTCCAACACTGTCGTCACTCCTCTTTTTATCCTTCCGGAGCTCCTCTGTGGGACTCGAGACCGGTGAGTGGCACAGGTGTCGCTCATTATCATTAACTCCACCGGCCTCGCTCTGTTCCACGGCTCTCGGCCCCGCCCCCCTCGTCACATCATGTTTAAAAAAATAATATTGATGCTTAAATCCAAAGAATCGATTAGTCTTGCTTGTTTTCAGTTAATGAACGGAACATTGTAGCAAGCCTCCCATCCAATAAATCACAATAAACTTGTGCTTTGTTACGTTTGTTATCAAACAGAGTCTCAGATTTCAAATTCTATTCTATTATATTCTGAATAAAAATAGAATAACATTCTATTCTATTCTATTTTTTGATCAAATTCTATTTGATTTCAAAGTCTATTTTATTACAATATTCAAACCATCCAAATACCATTTTGGCAATGTTTAATGTTGAGTGATAAATCACTGTAGAGCTTCAGTTCAAGAGAAACGGCAGTGTGAAACACACATGAACTTATCGTCTCCTCCGCTTTAACACCAGTTACAGCATGAAATAAACATGAATGAACATCCGAAGGTTTGTTAAAAGAAAGAGTACAATGGTACTGTATATCTGTATAATGTCTCATGTAATCACTGAATCAGAGGTTTAACCACTGATGCACCATCTAAACAAACGTCATTATAACAGCTTGTAAACAATGTCACAATTACCTCAGAAAAAAAAAAACATATTCAGTGACCATAAACTAAGGTGGCCAGACGTGCCACTTCCAATAGAAACATTCGGCACAGGATTTCTAAATTGCCTAAAATAACCAGGTGTTGGTTGTTTGCGACTGGATCTAAAATCTCTAAACGGCACACTGCCAATTTCTCCATTTCTGAGTTACCAGAACCCCACAAAAAAATCTGAACATAGCCTAAGAGTGTATGTGTGTAATGCCTCCAGCATTAGCTCCAGTGAGGCAGTGGTGTTTTGAGTTCAGAGGGATTTTTGACCCAGCCGAGTATAGTCTTGTGACCCAAATCTGAGCATGTGAAAAGCCAAACGGGAGACAGACCTCATAGGTTGAAGCATGTTTGCTTTACATTTTAATGTTAGGTGATTTGATTTAGGCTACTTGTCATTAGAAAGCTTACATAGAAGTGATTCCTCATAGAAAGAGATCTGTCATTTTAGATCTAGAAATGAAAATACTGAACGGGAGCATTAACCTACATCCCTAATTCACATGTAAAGCCTTTAGCCTCAGTCCAAACAGTCCCATTCACCTTTATGTAGATCCTTCCAGTCAGTTTACAGAGCTGTGCTGTTGTTTACATTTCACTTCCTGGTGGTCATGTGACCCACCCACAGCCCAGGCCATCCTGTCCAACTTGTCAGTCATCTGTCATTGCTGCAGCGACAATGGGTGGGGCAAAACAGCCACTCCCAACCAGTAAAGAGAGCAAAAATCTTTTCCTGCTCAGTAGAAGCGGTGCTAAAATTGACACTCAAGACTGATAAACGTGTTTTGCTCCACTTCAGTGTAATAGATATGATGCTGACGCTCACTCTAGACTCACTGACATCATTCTCAGTCTGCATTCACAAAACTGCCAATAATACTCATTTAGGCAAACAAATACTAGCAGAAATCAGCTTACGAGGACACTCAGAGCAAAACAAAATAACTGAAACAACCTGATTAGCCAGTAAAATGAACTAATTACTTACAATTATCTAACTGAACATTTAAAAACATATTTTTGTAGTCAAGAATGAGTGGTTCAGAACTCACTAAGGATGGGTTATTATATTATCTTATCGTTTGTGATATACCGGTAAAAATTCTCCCCACGATAAGAATTAGTCTTCCCGTGATAATAACGATAAAGTCTAGTTGTTGACATATTTCTGTGTGCGACGACTGTGTGGAGTGATGTGAAGGAAGGCAGACACGAAATTGAGCAGCTCCTTCTACAATCTGGAACAGGTTTGGATAGGGCTGTACAGTGCTACAAAAATCGGTCTGAGACTTGAGTAAATGTACTACAGCAGCACGTGTGCGATACAGTTTTACATGTGTATGAGTTGTTTACAAACCTGTTGTCCAACAAAGATATTATTTATTGACGTGCTTTTTCTCCATATTAACTTCATAACATAGTCGAGTGTTTGAATAAACTTATTTTTGTGATCAGACGTGGTTTCGTATCACAGAATAAGGCAGAAATCATACTATTTTATAGCATTATATACAGTGATAAAGGCTATGTCGATTAGCATTGCATTATAAATATACTTTATCCTTATAAAAATACCCAAGATTGCTTGAAGAACACAGATACCATATATTTTGTGCAATCGCATGTTTATCGTCTTCAGGTTTCCTGAGTTAAAATGTCTTTATCTGCGTTTTATTCAGCTACAGCGATCACTGGATACCTCTGTCCATATTAGGGATTTCCTGGGGATTACTTCTATGCATATGTGGAGTTTCTGCGCAAGGGCGCCCTCCGGCTTCCAGTATTAATTAAACAGTCATTACATTACGTGTGTACTGCTCACAACACCCTATTTTGGGTAAAAATAGGAAAGATAAGACTTTTCTCTAAAGAAACAGGATTCCCTAAATTATCGTCATTGATATCGTTACCGCAATAAATATCAGAAATTATCGTGATACATTTTTAAGCCCATATCGCCCATCCCTAGAACTCACAGGGCCTTAAAACCTTGTAAGCTGCCTAACTAGAATGTGCTTTTAAGCATCACACCTATGATGCTCAAATTTGCTTTGTTTTTAAGTTTTAAGGCTCAGCCATAGACAAATGCCAGTACATACGGACACAAACCTAAAAGAAACTATCTGAAGCGGTTAGCAACTGAGTATTAAGGCCACACTTTCCTTACGCACATTTAGTTACTGAATCAGGGCTCTAAAATAGGTTCTCCTGAATTCTTACTAAGACATTTTGGATTGCTTGTATTTTGGTTTTCATGAAGATTAAAATTTCAATGATTGTATGAGGGAAAATATGTTTCTGTAGAGTTTCACCCTTTTTTTGCAGTTTCACATAGTGACAAATAAATTTAAAAGATATATTCCATGTAATCTGTCAAAATAATATGTTATATTTATATAATTGTGTATATACATATAAACGACATAATATTCTATATTACATATAAAAACAGTAACGTTCGCACATCATTAACCCTGCACTGCTATGACACACACCAGTTCTGAAACACTTTTGCAAAATAAAAAACAGACACATTGATCACTTAATAGGCCGGGTGTTAGCTTAGCACCCCTGAGAGCAAAACCCCAGAGTGTTTTATATCAGCCTTTTTAATCTTTCCTATCCTGACCTCCCACGTACCTCCTCCTTTCCTTCGTCTCTTGCGGCTCCGTTGTCCCTCCTCTTCCTCAGCGATGGTGGAGAGAGATGGGATAGCTGACCTGCAGGCCTCCCTCCTCATCCTGAGGGGGGCCGGCATCCTCCCCTCCTCTCCTGTGCTTTTTTCTCTCAGTACCCAGCACTGCTAAGAGCTAGCACCCCACACATCTCCTCTGAATGATCTCAGATGATACAGCACACAGTAGGAAGAGTAACAGACACAGTAAGAAGACACAGCAAGAGCTGGAAGACGCGGCAAGACCGACTGAAAGGAAAGAGAGAGGAGTCAAAACTCCTTCCAGTCCAGCCTGGCTTACTGACGTTCTTGTAATCCACAGAAGCGGCTGGCTCTCTTCTTCCTTAAGCCTAAGAGACACGGCTGCTCTAGTTGCTGATGCTGCCACTGTCTCTCTCCAGGTCTGTCTTACACTCTCTCTCTCTCTCTCTCTCTCAGGTCCTTATAGAGAAAGTACCACAGACTGACAAATGCACTGAAACACTGCCTCACACGCGCACAGTTCTCTGTTTCCTACTGAAATATTCAGTATGAAGACCAGCAAGGTGAGCCAGCGGATTAACAGACACCATGACAGTTACAGGACACAGAATGGTAGGATAAAGTGGACTGGAAAGAGATGAATTATTGCCCATCCAATGTAAAGAGCACTTATTCTCTGTGCTAAAAGGTGCAGTCACATTAACAAAATTTTTGCAGGATTTCAAAAACAAAAACTGACCAAAAACTTGAATCCGCTGTGAGATCTGCATGAAAAATCTTTCGCCCTCACATGAAATTCTACATTGTGCAGATTCCTATATTAAAATGACTGGATTTCACCCATGAAAATTCACCAAACAATGCAATGCTAAATGTGATCGCACATGAAGACAGTCATCCCACATTTTAAATCTATTTAAACACTGACTGTAGCTACTATATGCTCAAAAAACAAATACACAGGCTAGGGATGGGTCGGGACGATCGCCTAGTCATTCAACAGCGTTTGAACATCAAAAGAGCTCAAATGTGATTAGTCAAAAGGAATGGGTACAACAACATCTTTCCATTGTGTTGTATTTGCTGGCCATGTGCAAAAACAAACAGCCTGATTCAAAAACAAATGAATAATGAGCAAGTTCTTTTAATGAACTGGAAAAAAAACGTTTGTGTTTGGAATCAGTCTAATGAGATACTGAATAGCAGTTGTCGCCTGTGTCCCACTGTCAGCGGATAAGAGTGAGTGTGTGTGTGTGTGTGTGTGTGTGTGTGTGTGTGTGTGTGTGTGTTTATGAATGAGAAACAGCTGATAGTCAGTTTACAGCCAACGGGTGAATGACATGTAAAGATCAACCTATGACCTACTGCAAACTGAAAAGCATCGCATATGACTCTAGCTCACAAACACAAAACTGATGCAGTAATGAAATACTGTAATTTGATCCCCTTTTACATGCAATGCACAGTCGACTAAAACCACTATAACCAACAAATGATTGCAACTGTAAATCCTCCTTCTTTAATCCACCGATATAAATGTAAATCCAACACATACTTATTCCCACATATTCTGTTAACAACTCATAGTGTGAGACTAAATCTAATATATGGTCTCTTTAACATATTTGTATATGAGACTATTAACATGCACTGTACACTCTAAAAACTGCTGGGTTAAATACAACCCAGTGCTGGGTAAAATAGGGACAAACAAAGCAATTGAGCTATTAACCCAACCTTCTGGATAGTAACCCAACCGCTGGGTCAAAACAACCCAATTGCTGGGTTTGTCCCTATTTTACCCAGCACTGGGTTGTATTTAACCCAGCATTTTTTTAGAGTGTAGCCTTAAACTTTGATGCATGTTGCATGAATAAGCCAATACCTGATAATCGTATGTGTACTAAATCCATAAAACTGCATAAGCAAACTGATTCTTGTAACGATAACCATCTGTCTTTATTGGTAAACATTAAACAGACTATTCAAATGCTGAAAGTCAGGTTAGCAGCTTGTTTAAAAATCATCCGCGGTTGACTATAGGCCTATATGAATTGCATGCATTTCAGAACGTGACATCTGATAACACTGAAAATGCATTTATACATTTTTTTTTTTTTTTACATTGTTTATTGCTGAGAGCAACATTTTTTTTTTTTTAATTAGCATTTAGCACTCATAAATGGAAAGGTCGGATTCATTTAGATGATAACTCATTCAAATATACAAGAAGAAGGGGATACGATTAGCATAGCTACAATGAAGCCGTCATCAGGGCTTCTCATAAACCAGCTTCAGTCAAATACAAAAACAATTGCTTTGTTCCATTCAATAATGCTCGACTACACAATATTTACAAGACATTTACTAAAAACATATGAAAAAAAAAAAACTTTGTAGTATGCATGGTGCATTACACCATGTTTAATAAATAATTTTCCCCCCAAAAATAAAATTGGCTGAAAATGTATTCATCCTCAGGCCTTTCAAGATGTAGAGAAGTTTGTTTCTTCACAGGAACAGATTTGGAGAAATGTAGCATTACATCACTTGCTCACCAATAGATCCTCTGCAGTGAATGGTGCCGTCAGAATGAGAGTCCAAACAGCTGATAAAAACATCATAATAATCCACACTACTCGAGTCCATCAGTTAACATCTTGTGAAGCGAAAAGCTGCGTGTTTGTAATAGAAACAAGTTCACCATTATGATGTTAACTTTGAATCATCACTTCTGGCCATAAGATGCAATATTATAGATAGAGGACTTGTATTTTAGCCGGAAGTAATGATTTGAAGTTAAAACTAAAGCTTTTCACTTCACAAGATGTTAACTGATAGACTGAAATAATTTATGTATTATTGTGATGTTTTTATCAGTTGTCATTCTGACGGCACCCATTCACTGCAGAGGACCCACTGGTGAGCAAGTGATCAGCTCCGATGAAGTAACAAACTTCATCTTGGATTGCCTGAGTGTGGGTAAAGTTTCATCTTTGGGTGAACTATTCCTTTAATGCTTATACTAATCAGCAAATATGTTTTGAGCTGATGCTGATAATAATCAAATATAGCCTAATCAAAATAATCATCTTCAAATTGATAACAGTGATCAATATTTATCTATCTGTATATCAATACATAGCAAAAACACACACTATCATGATCATGCATCTACTCTCCATCTATATCTTATTTTTCTCAATTCATGAGAGTAGACACAGGAATCTGATCTTTGCCCCTCCAGGCCCAAGAAAGACAGTAACCTTACACTTTAACCAGTAACACTGTTGATGTCTGTGCCTAGCTAGAATCCACCGACAAAGCTACTGGTAGATTTTGTAACCACAAAGGCTAAGAAATATATCTGTTAATCGTCAAAATAGACTTATATAAGACTGACTTTGGACCAGTGGACTAAACCAATGCACTGCAGACACAAACCTTGTCAGAAAACTAGTCATTTTTATCATATTTTCCTTCCTTTTCTGGTAGGTTTGCCATGTCAAATTGCAATTTTTTTTTTTCAAACAAAAGTTATATAGGTTGTATCAGACATTTTTAATCACCAGGATTAAGACAAATAAGACAATTTGTTAGTGTATAATAAGAGGGATATGAAGATGCCGTGGGCGGGGTAATATACATTTAAAGACAAGGTAAATAACTCCCCAGAATATTTATCAAACAAACAAAACAAATGAAGACAGGATGACGGCACCAGACTTTTTAAAGCGTTAGTTTCGCGATATTTACATGACTGTACAAATAAAACTACAGCACAAGTAAAATACAACAGATATAAAACTTATCATTACATTAGATCATGCAGAACACACGCGCGCGCGTAACAGGTGCTCTGCTCAAAACTAATTAAACAGCACCAAAACCATATCAAAATATAAACCAATGATTTTCTTCGTAATAACTGATGTAAACACCCGCTGGCAGTGCTCTGGTTCAGCGTTTAGCCTGATTTAATCCCTTTCCTCCGACCGGCTCGCGCTGCTTCTGAGGTAAAGGGGTTTTATTTCGTGACAAGTATAACCAACCAGCTTTAAAAACAGACAAGGGTTTGGTACACTCGTCTGGAAGCGGGACAGTACTTTTGGACAAACTGTACGTTAAATAAATAAACTCTCACCTTGGCTGGAGCTCTGACAGACGTCGCTTCCATCCCGCTCCGCCATTTCACCGACGTCACATGAGAGGATTAGAGCGCGCGTTTAGTACAAAAGCGTTACGCGCCTCTAGCGGACAGGTGCAGAATAACAGATAAAAACACAGACCTGTCCTAGGTGGTTTCTAATAATGTCCAATTTCAATGATTATTGTTAATTACATTTTTAGTTTTAAGTATTTAATATATCTGTCTGTTTAAATGCAATTGTATGTTTATATAGGCCTAATATTGTATGTTAACGAAGATAATTCGTTTTCTTTTTTCTTTTTAAATGTTAATTGAATTTTTGATTATTTATATAATTTTGTATTTTATTATTTAGATTAATTTGTATAAAAATATGCACGTATTATTATTTTAAGTACAATATTCAGATATTTTCAATAATCATTCAATCAATTTATTTTTTTCATTACTTTAGAATATAACAATTATTATAAATATTTTAACATTTTAATAAAATATTTTAATCATTAATAATACACTTAATGTTTTATAGACAATTTTTGTCATGCACTTACATCATTGTGTTGCCATCTAGTGGTAATGTATTTTCATGTTATGTTAATTCATGGCCCCTCACTATAAAGCTAGCCTTTTAAGTAGTCTACACACTGTTTTACCTATACATTACATGATCTTTTTTTACGTGTTTGTGTTTTCCTTGTAATATTATGACATATCCAGAAGATGGCAGCAGTTACACTTACACAAATTCAAAATATGAAGCGTATGTACCATCTGGACCTCCATGATCTGAACATGAAAATTACATGTATGAGAATGTATCATATTTATTATATAAATATAATAAGAATATATACTGCCCTAATGCACCTTGATATGTGTGTCTGTGTGAGTGTGTGTGACTTGTGTGCTAAGCCAGTTGTTATTTTTTGGGAGCGACATCATTTGACATCACTCTCTTTTACATACAAACAAATGGATAAAATATCAACAACAACAAAAAATACTTCTGAGAATTGTTTGGTTCAGCTTAACGCAGAATGTACAAAAACAGAACAATAAGCCGAGTATTTTTGGATTGGATGGTTTAATATTGAATATCCCCATATAACCTCTAATCCACATACACGCACCCCATGCTTTTTGTCTACCAATCCATCACCCTGGCTGCTCACATACATCATGCATCCCACATGGTTATTAAGAAGCATTATAAAGTAGATAAATGAGAACATGAAGGTACTAAATCTCTCTCCCTCAGCCTCTCTTGTTCTCTTTCTAGAGCAGCACTGGTGTTTTAGGACTGTGCCATCTCATTAGTGGGAGTTTCATTGCGTTACGTAAGCCCTGAACACTTTCTCTCCTTACTATCCTCTATCACACTGAAGCGCTGACCTCAGCTCCCCTCGAACATACAAGCACACACATCAGTATCGACATAACACACATAACACAGACAAGTCTTTCTCTCAGTTAAAGCACAATATGCATTTGATTTGTAAACCAGGACAAGTTTATCTGGAAGATCATGTGGGTGTCACACGATTTACCTGTTTTCCTTTGTTTATACCCCACCTGCTGCATGTGTATTGTATTCTGTGTATTGTGCCTTATCATATTTTGTATTGCATATTGTATTGGACTATACTGTATAGAAGTACAGTTGCCTCCATATATCAGTTATATATCATTATAAAGCAAAATATCAAAGCAATATCAAACTTGTTTTAAAGAATGATAATAAATACAGTTTTCATACAAAACATTAACCTCTGTGTACTGTTAAAATAGTTTTGTACTGTATTTTACTGTATTGTATATTGCAATTTATTTTGTATCGCATTCTATGTTGTTATTGATGGACAGACGGATGGAAGGACGGATGGATAGATAGATAGATAGATAGATAGATAGATAGATAGATAGATGACAGACAGACAGACAGACTGACAGACAGACAGACAGACAGACAGACAGACAGACAGACAGACAGACAGACAGACAGACAGACAGACAGACAGACAGACAGACAGACAGACAGACAGACATAGATAGATAGATAGATAGATAGATAGATAGATAGATAGGGAGAGAGACAGACACAGATAGATAGGACGGACGGATAGATAGATAAGATAGACAGACAGACAGACAGACAGACAGACAGACAGATAGACAGATAGACAGACAGACAACAGACAAGATAGGCAGACAGACTGATAGATAGATAGATAGATAGATAGATAGATAGATAGATAGATAGATAGATAGATAGATAGATAGATA